GCCCCATCACTGCCAAGCTGCCACTGCTTGGCATGCCACTTCTGTATCATATGTATATGAGATTAATAGACACATTATCCAATATATGTTCCAATATTTTTGATCACTTTAAAAAATGGGTGTGCTCAAGCTTTTATTCTAAGTTGTTTAACACAAAACAAGCTGAAATTCTGATCGGTCATCTCATATTCGTCTTTTGATCTCCAATCCAAATGTCTATATAACGCAAACAAAAGAATTGGCCTTGAAATTACAATACTTTCAGAGGGGACTGTATTAGGTGATAACAGTATACTGCAACATACCCGGCTGCACCAATGGAGAAAGTCCCCGACACTGTATCCACTTTTCTCCGGTGTCTTTTATGCTGGAACCTGTTTTACCTGTGTTTGAGTCTGACACAATAGCCCTTCATTCTCTCTTACCCTCAGTGCCCGTTTCGAGACACAAAATGAAAAGCGAGCAGAGGGGTTTAAAATGAAATCCCAAGGTCTGTGGATGGCCTATTTGGAAATAAAGACAACTGTTGAATGGATGCTTTGAGAAGATTGGAAAAAAAACAGCTTGTTGCATCTATGATGAGCCGGTTAACTTAAGACCATTATAATGGTATAAATCTCAGCTCATTTCTGTAATTTAAATGATAAAAAGCAGGTGGATAGATAATCTGGCAAACAGTGGAGGTATTCTCTCAGTCAGGGACCCATATATACCAACAATAAAAAATAATTTAAAAAATTAATAAAAAACAATAAACCCTTTGAACAAGTAAGATTATTTATTTATTTATTGATTCATTCATTCGTTTTATTTTTATATTATCAGCATGGAATAAAAAAAACTGAACTCTGTCTCTTTGTCTCTCTCTCTCTCTCTCTCTCTCTCTCTGTTACCGGATATTAGGTGATGGTGAGACCAATACAAAACAAACAGTCAGATTGCACTGGGGAGCGTTTCATTTACACTGCAAATGAGTAAAGAATAACGTATCGCCCATCTTCCAATTTATTGTGTGTGTGTGTGTGTGTGTGGTGTGCGCGTGTGTGCATGTGTACTCACACTCCTCCTCTTTAGGGTCAAGCTGTGTCACACTGATAGACAGACGGTCCACACGCTCTTGCAAGGAGTTGACTCGAAAGGAGAAGGCATGTGCTTCATTAAAGAGCTCTCCAAACAAGTCCTCTGCATATTTACCTACAGAGAGAAAACACACACACACACACACTTAATTCAGAAATTCTGTAACTTTTTTACTCTTACTGACCGTTTAATAGCAGACCATAAGGAGGAGAAAATAGCAAGAGAAAAAAAAACTAGAAAAACAATTAAGGAGCACGGAACTGCAATACAGATAATTAAAGTGATACTCTTCTCTATTGTTGCAGCTATTAATATTCCTCTCTGGCCTTCAAAACCAAACCCAAATATACTAAAACATACCAAACAAAACTCCAACAAATTATATTTAGCCATCAGATGTTATTTCCTAATTAAATCATGAAGCGATCAGATCGGTCAACAAAAGTAAGCAAGGGTACGTGCTGTCGGAGTCTGAGTATTGAAAAAAAAAATTCAGTCTGACAAACACAGTGCTAATGAGGTTGAGCACTGTGCACATAAGCTCAAATATCAAATATGAGTTATAATACGAGAGTGTCTGTATTGTAATTAGCTCATGTCTGGAGATTTATACTCATGCTGTCTTTTCATGTTTTAAAAGCTGTCCCGTATTATTATGTATATCGGGAACACCCCACAAGACCTGCCATTTTGGAGATCGGACCCATCACATTTTGGCCTTTGTCAAAGTCGCTCAAAAATCCTTACGCTTGCCCATTTCTCCTGCTTCCAACACAACAACTTCGAGAAATGACTGTTCACTTGCTGCCTAATATATACACCATGACAGGTGCCCCTGCAATGAGATAATCAACGCTACTCACCGGTCAGTGGTTTTAATGTTATGGCTGATAGACGTGGATTGATGTGTGAGAATGAGTGGATCAATTCGCTGACAAATATACTACATGTACACAAGCAGAACTCATAGGGAATGGTGAAAAGAAACAATACATTTCAGCAATAATTTGCATTTCCGTTAATTAACACATGCATAAAATTAGCATAAAATTAACACGTATTTTCAAATATTTTAAATGGTTAAATATTGTACAAATAAAACAATTAAATGAAACTCTTTTCTTTAAAGTAAACTGTACTTATTCATTTCATGAATTGATGAGAATTTATATTAATTAAGTAAATCAAAAAATGCAAATAAATAAATAATAAAAATAAAGCCCTTACTAGTTCTTGCTTGAAAATGTCTGACTTCCCAAATCATTTCTCATCAATATTACTTAATGGCCAATAACCAGTGCCTCCAAGATTTTGCGATTGCAGAAATTAAACACAAATTCAGAGGACCGTGCAATTTTTCTAAATTACTTTAGACTTTCTGCAGGTGTGGGCCAAGACACGTCATGTGACTACATCACAACACGCATTTAGCCAAAGTCGACTTTGATTCACGTGTGTTTAATGTGAGTACAGCTAAAATGTCTCATTAACATTACTGCGAAAAACTCAGCAGAATCCTGCATATACTGAATAACACCACATGCAAATCGAGGCCAAAAACCACACACCCCACACGAGTATGGGGCAGCCCGTATTCATTTAAAATTTATACGACTTTATTGTACTTATTTCAACTCTACACAACTGCATGATTTTCAACTTCATATATTTACAGTGGTGTGAAAAAGTGTTTGCCCCCTTCCTCATTTCCTGTTCCTTTGCATGTTTGTCACACTTAAGTGTTTCGGAACATCAAACCAAATTAAACAATAGTCAAGGACAACACAAGTAAACACAAAATGCAATTTGTAAATGAAGGTGTTTATTATTAAAGGTGAAAAAAAATCCAAACCATCATGGCCCTGTGTGAAAAAGTGATTGCCCCCTAAACCTAATAACTGGTTGGGCCACCCTTAGCAGCAACAACTGCAACCAAGCATTTGCGATAACGTGCAATGAGGCTTTTACAGCGTCCTGGAGGAATTTTGGCCCACTCATCTTTGCAGAATTGTCCTAATTCAGTCACATTAGAGGGTTTTCGAGCATGAACGGCCTTTTTAAGGTCATACCACAACATCTCAATAGGATTCAGGTCAGGACTTTGGCTAGGCCACTCCAAAGTCTTCATTTTGTTTTTCTTCAGCCATTCGGTGGTGGACTTGCTGGTGTGTTTAGGATCATTGTCCTGCTGCAGAACCCAAATTCGTTTCAGCTTGAGTACATGAACAGATGGTCGGACATTCTCCTTCAGGATCTCTTGGTAGACAGCAGAATTCATAGTTCCTTTTATCACGGCAAGTCTTCCAGGTCCTGAAGCAGCAAAACAGCCCCAGACCATCACACTACCACCACCATATTTTACTGTTGGTATAATGTTCTTTTATGAAATGCCAGTGTTCCTTCTACGCCAGATATACTTGGACACACACCTTCCAAAGAGTTCCACTTTTGTCTCATCGGTCCACAGAATGTTGTCCCAAAAGTCTTGGGGATCATCAAGATGTGTTGTGGAGAAATTGAGACGAGCTTTGATGTTCTTTTTGCTCAGCAGTGGTTTTCTCCTTGGAACTCTGCCATGCAGGCCATTTTTGCCCAGTCTTTTCCTGATGGTGGGGGCATGAACGCTGACCTTAACTGAGGCAAGTGAGGCCTGCAGTTCTTTGGACGTTGTTGTGGGGTCTTTTGTGACCTCTTGGATGAGTTGTCGCTGCGCTCTTGGGGTAATTTTGGGCGGGCGGCCACTCCTGGGAAGGTTCACCACTGTTCCATGTCTTCGCCATTTGTGGATAATGGCTCTCACTGTGGTTCGCTGGATTCCCAAAGCTTTGGAAATGGCTTTATAACCCTTTCCAGACTGATAGATCTCAATTACTTTCTTTCTCAATTGTTCCTGAATTTCTTTGGGTCTCGGCATGATGTGTAGCTTTTAAGGATCTTCTGGTGGACCTTACTGTGTCAAGCAGCTCCTATTTAAGTGATGCCTTGATTGTGAACAGGTGTGGCAATAATCAGGCCTGGGTGTGGCTAGAGAAATTGAACTCAGGTGTGGACAACCACAGTTATAGTATGTTTTAACAAGGGGGCAATCACTTTTTCACAACACGGCCATGATGGTTTGGATTTTTTTCACCTTTAATAATAAACACCTTCATTTACAAATTGCATTTTGTGTTTACTTGTGTTGTCCTTGACTATTGTTTAAATTGGTTTGATGTTCCGAAACACTTAAGTGTGACAAACATGCAAAGGAACAGGAAATGAGGATGGGGGCAAACACTTTTTCACACCACTGTACATATATGAAGGAAATGTGAGCATCGCAACAGCAAGCCCATGGTCCTCTTCTGGCTGGAATATGTTGATATTTTTAGGAGCAAAATAATAGCATAACCCAGTAAACTAGGTAAAATATACATATTGGGCTTTAGGCATATATTTAATTTAAAGTAGTTATTATTTAAAAAAAAATTACTTTAAAGTAGTTATGTAAAAGAAAAATTATGTTTTTGTCATATTTTCCTGACTCACTCACTCAGCAGGCCAGTCTACAGAAGGCATTTTTGCTCACGGACTGATTTTGCGTGTGCAAGAAGTCCAACTAGTTTAATATTTTTTATTTCATCCATCCATCTTCAACCGCTTATTCCTGCTTCAGGGTCGCGGGGAACCTGGAGCCTATCCCAGGAAGCATCGGGCACAAGGCGGGGTACACCCTGGACAGGGTGCCAGTCCATCGCAGGGCACAATCACAAACACAACAATCACAAACACACTCACACACCCATGGACACTTTACCAAGCTGCCAATCAACCTACCATGCATGTCTTTGGACTGGGGGAGGAAACCGGAGTACCCGGAGGAAACCCCCGCAACACGGGGAGAACACGCAACACGCAGGGAACACGCAAACACGCAAACTTCCCCCGGCGGGAATCGAACCCGACCCTTGGACCTTACTGTGCCAAACCTGGACCCTGGAGGTGTGAGGCGAACGTGCTAACCACTAAGCCACCGTGCGCCCTATATTTTTTATTTATTTGTTTTAAATCTAGCCACCCTTAGCTAGCAAGCAGTGAACAGTACCAGAGATACTCCTTGACATACACTGCATCTGCGGTTTTTGTTTGCAAACAAACGCACCTCTGTGTCATTTTGTGGTAGCTGCAGAGAGAGAGAGGTAGGTTAGCTAAAGTGGTGTCGTTTCGTGTAGGTGTGTTGTTTCATTTGTGTCCTTGCTTCAAATATTACTGATATTTAACATTATTAATAACTTATGTTAAATGAAGAGGTGTGTTCTGTGGCATGACTGCATTTGTAGCGACACACTGGTCGTATTTATCTCTACTGTTACGTTGTTTATTTCCATGAATACGCATTCTGCACTTAGCTAGCCATCTATTGAACTGTGCCACAGCACCTCATCTGAAAAACAGGGCATTCCCCAAAACTCTAAATGACATCTCATGGACTTCTAATAAGATGGATATATCTTTTAGACTCGACATAATGGATGTAATTTACACACAAACATTTCCCTCCATGCAGTGTGTGGTCAGATGGCTGGTTTGGCATATGTTCTGAAGCAAAGGAGATCTTGCACTAAACGTGAGCTACCAGGGAAACCAAGAGAGCAGCATCCACTAACGACCAACAGGGATTTACTTCTGAGAAAATGTTTTGTGGTATAAACGCAAGGAGAAAGAGGTTGTTGAATTTCTTATTTTTGTAAAAACATATACTTTGTGTACGTTCAACCAAATTGACATCATTTCATTTGAAAAATTGCTTTGGTATAAAGTCTAGGTTGGTCAGGCTACATCACACCACCCTGTTGATTCTTTTCCTATAATAGCAAGCGTTATTCTCGTCTTCAAGCAACCTTCAATGCGTTATTCCTTACATATTTAACAGCAAAGGGTTAACGTTGTACGTAAACACACTCACAAATCTTGATAAATCATATTCACACTTACTGAGGCTGCTGAGCTGGCGTATAACGTTGGCGAGTGAGATGTTGGTGACACACTCCAGCTCGTTTTTAATACTACAGGGCAACACCGTGTGGCACAAGTGCCTCGGCTCGATGCTCCTCTTCACCAGTGGCATCTTCCCTCACTCCAAGATCACCTGCGACAGCCGTACCTAATAATAAATAAGAGAGGATTCATTCAATCAAATGAACTAATTTCTATAAGAAAATTAGAATTAGTACTATACACACACACACACACACACACACACACACACACACACACACACAACACTAATCTCATTTCGGATTAGCAAACAAACTAAATCATTGCACTCCGAGCCTACAGAAATCAGCCACTGAGTCATTCATAACCATTAAACACTCCAAGTATCCTGAACCATTTCCTGGTCATTAAAAAGGCTCAAGAAGTGAGCGTGATAGAGAGAAAGTGAGAATAAGCATGACCTACATATTGCAGATTCTGCACACACCCACACACAGCTGGTCCTAAAGAGTATTACCATGCCTTATGTGGCTAATCGCTCACACTGAGCTGGAGCAGTACACAGATAATTAGATTAAGTGTGAAATATTCAGTAATTTAGACTTAATTCCAAAGCGAACCTGGAGATAAGACTGCTGAGATCAATACTTATTGACCCCATCTTTTGCAAACACACACACACACACACACACACACACACACACGTTCATATGAGGCTCCTAAACTCATCCAGTGGCAGCCATTTTCTCTGTCCCCAACTCATCCTCTAACACATTTCAGTTACTTTATGATTATGAACATACCATCATGACTGAATCTGTGTAGACACGTATGTGTGTGCGTGTATATATGTGTGTGTGTGTGTGAGAGAGAGTGTGTGTGTGTACAGGTGCATCATCAGTAGGACTGCAGTGCAGAGACAAAGCACCATGTTAACAACCACAATGGTATTGTTATCTAGATTGAAAGAGATGCGTGCTGTTAGACTGAGACGGCAAAAAATAATTCAGTTCAACTAAGTTTTATTTGTATAGCACTTTTAACAATGGATATTGTCCCAAAGCAGATTTACAGAAATATATAAATTCAAGATATAGATTTTAAACATTCTAATGAGCAAGCCAGAGCTGATCTCAATATTAAGTATTGTGAGTAAGAATTGGTACTGAAAGGTGAGAGCACATGGGGTTGCTGTGTATATCAAACCTCTCAAGTTGTTTCTGCTAGCAGAACTGCTGCTCACTGGATGTTTTCTGTTTTTCACAACATTCTGTGTAAAATCTAGAGACTCTCATGTGTGAAAATCCCAGGAGATTAGCAGTTTCTGGAACAGACAAGCCAGCTCGTCTGGTACCAACAATTGTGCCACAGCTGAAATCAGAATCTGACGTTTGACTTGAACATCAGCTCTTGACATTATTTTATGCTCAGATCAGAGAACTACATGAATGTATTACAGGGTTACAGATGTTCCTATTAAAGTGGCCAGTAAGTGTACACCTTCTCTTCTGCCTTCACTCTTCCCCAAAGCCTGATCTCTAAATTCCTGCTGACTTGGCATGTGACCTTCAGCCCTTGCGTGAAAATTCGATTTACTCCTTGGCCTCCTTTAGCATGTGATAGCCACTCTGCCTTAAAGCCGTGCGGCTGCGCTCAGGGTGACTAATCTATCCCAGAGCAGGACACGTTCCTCCACTTCTTCTTCCCCCGTCCGCCTCTTCCACTCGCTTATCTCCCTCCTCCTCTCCCTTGCTCCCTCTCCACGTATATTCACAAAAGAATATACGAATGCTTTAATGTTGCTCCCTCCCACATCATGCCCTGCTGAGCATTTCATCATTTTTATAGAGAATGACTCACCGAACACTTTAAAACAGCGGAAATATTAAAGCGAAACTATTATTGAAAAAGAAGAAGAAAAGAAAGAAAGACGAAAGACAAACTGCATTAAACTCCTGTCTTCCCTCTCTGAATTTTTTTTTTGGATAGACAGTGGAAAAAAGGAGAGAGAATGCCAAGCTGGAAGAAAAAAACATGAGAGACAGAGGAAGGAGGGAGAGAGACAGAGAGCGAGAGAGAGAGACGCTTGGCAGCAGTGCAGTAGAATCTAATTATGTAAAAACCAATGCAGCCCAGTCCAGAACAGCAGAGACAAAGAAAACACACACACACACTTTCTCAAAGTTGCGTTAGATTAATCTCAGTCCATTAATCCCAGTTCCGATAAAATGCACCACATTTTAAGAAATCCTAGCAATCCCCACTTTAGCGCCAATGATCACTTAGAAGCTTAACCATGTCCACAACACACACTTACACGTACACACACACACACACACACACACACACACGTGTACACACAGCAGTAAATCACAATACTGTTGCGCTTGAATTTATGAATACTATTCATAACATTCAGTACTATTACGAATATTAAAATACATAAAGCCACCTTTAAAAAGTGCATCTAACAAAAAGCGCCAATACAACCTTTCCTGGGCAAAACATAAACTTGTCTTCATAAAGTGTAGGTCTTAAAAATGTTGACATGCTAACAATAAAGCTTCTTTTCCATATAATACCTCAACTACTTAAAATCGTATTAAAATCATAACCGAGTCATTTCATTTAATGAAGTATCCTCTTTTATACCGCAGTGCTTTTGAAATCTCAAACCCAATGAGTCAGATGGTGCTGATGCCAAGCCGTGTGTGTGGAGGGGGTGAGGGGGGGTGGTCTTATTAACATCAAGAGAGAAAGAGAGAAATTAAAGGCCAAGTCATAATTGGTCTCACAGCTAGGCCTGTCATGATAACTACATTTATTGGACGATATATTGTCCCAGAAATTACATTACATTACATTACAGCATTTGGCAGACGGCCTTATCCAGAGCAACTTTTATACAACTCATATCTCATTTATACAACTGAGTAGTTGAGGGTTAAGGGCCTTGCTCAAGGGCCCAACAGTGGGAGCTTGGCAGGGCTGGGATTTGCACTCACAACCTTCTGCTCAGAAGTCCAACATCTTAACCGCTGCGCTACCACATCCCATTCTTTTTAATAAAATGGGATTAATATGGGATAAAATAATTGCAATAAACAATATTATTGTCATTTTAAGACCATTTTATGCCACTGATATAATGATAATATAATAGCATAATAATGCAAGTACACCCTTTCAAAGAGCAATGAACATTTAATTCTTAAGAATATTCAGACTCCATAATACAATATCATGAATACTTTAGGTGTAGTTATTCATTGCGTGTGCTTTAGTGTGTTGTTACAAAAAGCGTGTACTCACGACATGACTTAGTATTCTACCTAGCGTGTTACTTAAGTTTGAATTCGCGTGTGCAGAAGCGAGTTGTAATATCGTGTTTATGTTGTGTGTAAATGTCTGAATAATCTCATGGGTATATTATGCGTTTGGGTGAGTTAATTAACCTGCTAGTAATGCGCTTCAATTTACCGCTGTTCATCCGCTGCTCAGCTTCAGCTCACACAGCTTAAGCGGCTCAATCCCCGACATTACTGACTATGACTGAATTATTTCCAACGCTAGAACTACAGTATTCTTTCTAGAACAGTTTTCCTCTTCAAAAAACATTCTTAGTGCATTGTTAACGTATTGCGGGTCCTTTTGACAACAGTATATCTTAATTAAAAATCAGTGCTAGTGCTTGCTACACATCTTAAATTCGAATGAATCCAGTTTTTGCATTCCAATGTGCATTTTTATCATAAATTTGACGAATATTCAAAATTTTGAATTTTAATTTGCCTTCGAGCAGACGATGGGACAAAAGCAGAATGAATGGCTAAAATGTTGGTGACATTCATTCTTCAGTCGATAAAGTAATTATCATGATAGGCCTAATCACAGATATTTCACAATATGAAATTTCATACAAGGGGTTATAAATGGTAGACAATATGTTTGGTAATAAATGAAAAATGTTCATGATTGGCAAACTGCAGTGGTATAAGAGGAACAAACCACCTCGGGACATGGAGTTATGAGAAAATAACTT